GCTCCCCAAACATGTAAAGCCTCAACAGAAATCAGTGAGGTATCCCAACATTGTTAAATTATCTCCCCTCAAGGCTTCTGTGTTTCAGAAACCAGAGGAATTTCAAGGCCGTGTGTTTACTTGCGAGGCATGGCAGGGTCACGACCTTGTAATGTCTGCACCCCCGCCCAAACGCCGCCCACTCCATGCTCCTCCTCCTCTGGGTTTTCTACGGCCTGAAGGAAATGTGTCCACGTAAAAAATGTTGTTGTTTTGAGATTTTATCTTTCGCTCTGTTAAGCACAACAAAATGAGTCACATTTGCTTGAATGCAATCAAATCTAAAGAAATAATGAAAATATTTTTAAAAATTCTAAATCACAATGTCAGATAACTTACCACTGGATCACAGATATATTCCCCTCTCACCCCGTCTCTTTCATCCTCTGAGCTCGGGTCCTATGTGCCTAGAACTGCACATTTCTGGACTGAGNTGGGCGGGGCTAGAATAGGGGCGTGGCTGTGGGCTGGGCTAGTAGAGGGGCTGTGGGCGGGCCCAACACCTGATCTGCTGAGCTCCAGCAGATCAGATTAATAATAACAATTATTAATTATTGGTTCAGCCGTATTCATTGAAAATTCTGACCTGCTTGTGCTTCTGTTGGTGCTGCAGTGGCGTCGCCGGCTTCTGGCAGCCATGTCGCCGTGCAGCTGCAGGTCCGGTACCGGAGGAACGGTCGGGCTCTGCTCCGGGTGTTCACTGCAGACAGAGAGGTGACAGACGACAGGTGAGGATCGCGTACGACGGAGTGCTATCGACACGCTAACAAAATGTTTTTTAAAAAGAGAAAATTTGAGAATACTGACATAAAATTACAACTTTATTCTGAAAATATTAATACTTTATTCTCGTAGTTCAACGACTTTATTGAAATATTATTTGAAGTTTATTCTCATATAATTACAACTTTTTCTTGTAATTCCATCTTCATTTTTTTGCTCAGTTTGTCCCTTAAACTCTGTCGTTATTGTGCGTTCATTCTGAAAACTGAGCTGCGGTTTGTTGCATGTGGAGCTGCGCTCTGTTGCTAGGAAACAGGCGCTTCCTGCTCGGCTCCATTCATGCTAACATTGAGCTGCGGCGTGAATGAACCGCTCAGCCTGAGCTGAAGGTCAACGCTCCGCCGTCAGAAACAAAGAGGCTGGAGAGCGTTTGCTGTGAAAATGGCAGGAAACGTTGAGCACATGAAAACGCTCTTCCTCCTCCTCGTCTTACTCAGCTCGGCGGCCCTGTCCTCCCTCTCCCTCGCCATCGTTCAGCTCAACTCGCTGCAGGCCAGCGCCGCTCTGGCCGTCAGGGGCCGCTTCCTGGACGCCAGGAAGGAGGGAGCAGAGCAGCAGCGGCTCATCGAGCGAGCCATGTGAGTAGCAGCGACGTGCTGTGATGGCGCCCGGCGCCCACTTCACAGTTACATGAGGAACTTCTTTAAAGAAATGTACTTTTATTATGCTGTTCTTTATGTTTTTATATAGAATAGACCTGATTGATTCCCAAGGGAAAATTGCTTATTAATTGACACATATAAGCATAAATTTATGATCAAATTTATGATATATATATAAAATTCACTATCAAATTCAAATATGATTGAATATAAATACATAAATTGCTAAATAACTTGAATCAAATAAAGTAATAAAATGATTCAGCTTAGGCCTGAGTGGGTTTCTGTTGCAGTGGTTCTGTTAAATGCTTTCAGAGAGCAGAACCAGAGAGCAGAGGACCAGCAGATGTACCAGGACTGGGTCAAAACCATGGAGCCCATAAACCGCAACAGTCACACTCTAACCAGGGTGAGTTTCACGTGGTAAAAATCACAAACTGAAAACATTTTTTAATCTTTTTCTGTATTTTTCAGAGGAGTGCTCTCCTGTCCTACTCTGAGGTAACTCCTTGTTCTTTCAGTTTTTGCTGAATGTCGGTTCTGTTTCTGTCTGACCCGAATTTTCCTCCTGCAGCCTCTGACTGACGCTGGTGCAGCTCTGCTCATCACCATGAAGCACAGCAACAGGAAGTCCATGTAGCTGCCGCCAAACGTCACACAAAGGCTCCGAGTCACTCTCTACAATTATATAATAACATAATTATATGTATAATTATATTGTCACAGGAAATCTCGTTAAAATGTGCTTTTAATTCGTTTTGTATTAAAATATAAGACTATTCATTTCTGAGGTGTTGTTTTAAATGTTTTTGAAAATGAAACCTCAAGTTCATATGTTAAGTGATTCAATTCATAAATTAACTAATATAATTAATATCATCCAAGTTTCTTCAAAGAGTCATAGATGGTGATTTTGTGGGGAAGATGAATCTCCAGTAGCAGTCAGACTTGCAACAAATCTGAAAAGGCCTCTGACTGAAGACTTTCTCTATGATAGACTAACGACCTTCATTTGTTATAAAGATACTATTTTGACTTCCTGATTTAAATTGGGTCTCTGTCTCTTTAAGAAGCTCCTGCTCTTCCTGAAGCTCCGCCTCCAGGAAGTCGTCCCAACATGGCTCCTATATTAACCCTTTAACGTTTTACCAGAGTTGCTCTGAGCAGCAGCTCCTATAATGAGCTCAGCAGCTGGTTGCTAATTGCTGCTGGCTAGTCTGGAGGATCTGAGTGAGGAGGAGAAGGCGGGGCTAGGTCCACCCAGGCATTGCAACACCTGAATGGTTGCCATGGAGATAAAAGTGTTTGTTAAACATACCTTTATTTACCAGGGAATAAAATCATAACATGATGGAAAGATTAAAAAAGCTTATTCTAAATCATGCTGCCCCTTTAAGATGCTAAGCTACCTTGTTGGTTGCATTTCATAATGTTTTATTTTATGGGAGCATTTATTTGCTTAATAGGATTTTTATTAATATTTTTAACTAAACTATACTATTTATTTATATTGAATTAAATGTCTCTCCACAGGAGGTAAAATTCAACCAAAGAAATGAACAAAAGACCAAATCACAGCTAACAAAACAAAAATGCTAAAAACTCTAAATATTCATTTTTTAAAATTTATTTTAAACATGACGGCAATATAAAATAACAGTCATGAACAAGGAATTCAACATACATATTTTTGTACTACAATCATTTTAAGTTTTAAAAGGAGCTGAAAGAAGTAAAAACCTTTTGAACTTCTACCCCATAAAACATGTTGCAGGTCAAATGTTAGACGTTTACGCACAAAAGGAAACTAAAACCAACAAACACTTCAGCTCATTTATAAAACATCTGGATTATCTGCATTTATTTTCTAAAGTTTGTTGTTTTCCAAAACGGCAACATGATTAACTTGGAACACGTGAAATAAGATTAAACGTCTTCTGATTGTGGCCGAGGGGCCAAAGCGTAAATATTCATGGATTTATGTGGAGCCGCCATCATTAAACCGAGCCGTAACTCTGAACAGATGTTTCCTGGAAGAGCAGATCAGAGTCCTGATGTAACGCTGATGGGTGATTCTGCCTTTCTGCTTCCCAACAACCTCAAACTTTAACGCTCCTGCAGTTTAAAACCTTTTTTCTCTTGGTTTTAAACTAAAATGTATAAATTTACGATAATTTAGCCAACTCACAACAAATCTTCCGGCTCTTTCACATCCTGTTCCTTTCAGCACCTGGATTTAACTAAGCTAACAGGTACGAGCCTCTGATTGGATAATTACTGCAGGGCAATTATCTTCCAGCTGCAACAAGTTATTCACCACCAACTGATGCAACCAGGAGATAAAATAAAAACTTTCTCGTAACTATTTTGTTAAAATATGCATGAGAACTAATAAAACCTGATTTTATGCATCCTGTCCTAAAGTTTACCTTTAAAATCTGCAGGCTAATAATGATAATTTAAAAAATAAGTCTTAAATATGCTCTTTTTTATGGTTCACTCCAAACAGTTAATGCTAAAATTATTCACATCCTGCAGATTCAGACTGGAAGTTATTTTTTAAACTTGTAACATATTTTATCTGCTTGGAGGTGATAACGTTTTGGATCGGCTGGACAGAGCAGGAAGCTGAAGATTAGGGTGATGGTAAGGAGGCCTTCCAACCTCAAAGAGGGAAAATATCAAAATACCACAAGTATGGAGCTAAAATGGGGCCATAAAGTTTGCTCAAAAGAAAAAGAAATTGGGAAAAAAAAAATCTTTGTTCCAGTTTCAAAAAGTTTTTTTCAGACAAATTTTTTTATTCAGTTTCAAATTTTTTATTTTTCTGTCTGAAACTTTTACCCCCCAGTTTTAAAATAATTTTTCAGTTTCAAATCTTGTTTCAGTTGTTTAATTTTTTCCCTTTGAACCAGGCGTGTCCAAAGTGGGTCCTGGAGGCCCGGCGTCCTGCATGTTTTAGTCTCTCCCTGGTTTAACGCACCTGCATCAAATGACGGCTCATTAGAACGTCTAAGCAGAACAATGACAAGCTGAAAAGGTTGTTCCTACCAGCAGGGAGCGAACTAAAACATGCAGGATGCCGGGCCTCCAGGACCCACTTTGAACAAACCTTATGGCCCCAATCTAGCTCCATACTTTAGAAACATGCAGAAAGTTGTTCAGTTATTAGAAGAAGTGTCCGAGTGTCAGGATGACATTAAAGGTTTAATTTCCAATAAAAATCCTTTGCTAAACCAAACAACCAGGTTTGATTATGATTATTTACTTTTATTAATGTGTCTGCAGACGTAGAGTTCTTTGGAGATATATTTTATAAAAATATACAGAACTGAAATGAAATCATTTTAGATGTAAATCTACCAGGAGTGTGAATACTTTTGAACTTCACAGTAAAGTCACCAAATGTTGAACCCAAAGATAAAAAAACAAGGTTAAGAGGGAAAGAAAATATTTTTATATTATTATATTTTTTATTGATATAAAAGTTTCACAGTGAACATTTTTCCACTACAACTACAAATAATAAAATGTTTAAAAATGGATTTAAAGCACATTTAATGAATGGAAATTATTCAAGGTGGGTAAGTAGAGACGATGTGTTGGTTTATTCATTTAGTTTATAGCTTCTGTTTGCAGGAGAAATGATTTTATGAACAGATTAAAACATGAAGAACACATGTAGGAGATTATATCAGAGATTATAAAACATTTTTTACATCATATTTGTTAGAAATCATAAGAACGATCAAGCCCTAATAAGTTACACCAACAATCTTTTTTTTTTTTTTTTCCTTTTACAGTGCTGGTTGTTTTTTAAAAGATTAAATTCCTTCATCTTTGACCAGGTAATCTGGGAGGTTGTGGAAGGAGCTCACAGGTACAGTCAGAGACATGGCGCCGGGGTCAGAGGTTGCGGCCGGCGGGGGCGAGGGAAGCGGGTCTGTGTGAATGATCTCATCCACAGCTGGGGCTGCGGGCGCTGCTGCCGCCGCGGGGTGAGTCCGCAGGTGCTTGCGCAGGTACGCGGCGAACAGGAAGGCCTTCCCACAGTGCGGGCAGCGGTGCGGTTTGCTGGCCGAGTGGATCTTCTGGTGCTTTCGTAGCCCCGATCGGTTCTGGAAGCCCTTCCCACAGCTGTCACAGACATGCAGCTTTTTGTGCTGCTTGGCATGATCCTCCAGCTCCCCCAGCTGGCCAAACTCTGCGCTGCAGGTTCGGCAGATGTGCAGCGCAGCGGGGTCGGCCGGGTGGAGCGCCTCGTGGGCCTGAACCTCATCCCAGGAGGCGAAGGTGGCGTCACAGAGGGCGCAGGAGAACTGTGGCAGCGTGGTGTGGGGGGTGAAGCCCGTGGTGGAGGTGGAGGCTGAATCTTCCTGCTGCTCCGCCAGGTGAGTCCTTTCGTGCTTCCGCAGACTCGAGGAGACCACGAACGACTTCAGGCACTCCTCGCATTTGAAGGGTCTCTCTCCAGAATGAACTCGCCGGTGCTTGTTGAGGCTGGAGCGCTCAGTGAACGATTTGTCGCACTCGGTGCAGGAGAAGGGCCGCAGCCCGGTGTGGACCAGCATGTGGCGCCGCAGGTCCCAAGATGCCACGAAGGCCTTGTCACAGCTCTGACACTTGTACGGCCGCTCCCCAGAATGGACGCGTTCGTGCACGGCCAGGTCGGCCGGCTGCCGGAAGCGCTTGGAGCATTTGTCGCATGGGTACGGCTTGAACCCTATGTGGGCGCGCTGATGCCGCCGGAAGCTGGACGGGTCGGAAAACATCTTACCACACTGGGGGCAGAGGAAGGGTTTCTCCCCAGAGTGTGTGCGCAGGTGGGACTGGTAGGAGGACAGCTGTGTGAAGCCTTTCCCACACTGCTCACACTGGTAGGGTTTGTTCTGGGAGTGGATTCGCTGGTGGCACGCCAGCGACGACGAGCGGGAGAAGGCCTTGCCACAGTCGGAGCAAAGGAACGGCTTCTCACCGGTGTGGGAACGCTCGTGGTTCTTCAGGTCCTTCAGCTCTGTGTACGTCTTCCCACACTCCTCACAGGCATATGGACGGTGGCCCTGATGGTTCCGTTTGTGCTTCCTGAACACAGAGGGGTCGGCAAAGCTCTTCCCGCATTCGGCGCAGAAATATGGCTTCTCTCCGGTGTGGGAGCGTTCGTGGACTTTCAGTTTGGACAGGGTGGGATAGCTCTTGTTGCACTGGGGGCAGGAGTATGGTCGCTCACCACTGTGCTGCGTCGTGTGGATCCGCAGGCAGATAGCCTGCATGAAGGCTTTCCCACACTCAGGGCACACGAAGGGTTTCTCCCCGGTGTGGGAGCGGCTGTGGTTGCGCAGCTCCGTGGTCGTCTTGTACGCCTTGTGGCAATCTGGACACTGGAAAGGCCGCTGGGAGGAGTGGGTGCGTTCATGCTTGGAGAGCTGAGCTTTGCTAGAAAACGTTTTGGTGCATTCAGAACATGCATGCTGTTGCTGCTGCTGCTGCTGCTGCTGTGTTGCATGCGCTGCCAGCTTGTGGCTCTGCAGAGCTGACATGCTTTTGAAAGCCTCTGTGCATGTGGAGCATTTGAAGCTGGGTTTGGCTTTTGGAGGTCTGCCTCTGCCACGTTTTTTAACCGGCTGATCCCTCACCACCTCTTCTTCTTTGCTGTCATCATCCTTCTCTGGGGGGGTAAACTGCTGTGCAGGAGGCGGGCTGCCAGGCTGAGGGGAGGCCATTTTTTATTTCTAAAATCAGATCAAATTAAAAACAGATTTGTAGTAAATATAAAACAATTATAACACGAAATAGATGGATTAATGTTGATCAGATGAGTTGAAACTGCAAATAGAACATCCTGGAACAGAAAAAGTAGCACATAATTACAGAAATATGTGGAGATGCTGTTATTTATTCTCAAAATGGCTGGCATTAGGACCTCAGGGACAATAAGCTAACCGCTTTGATGACAGAGGAAGTCGCTGCAGTGACAGCTGTGCAGTCACGGCTGCCACCGCACCAGCCTGCGCCTCTGATTAAACCCTCCATGTCAGCGGGATGGGGTCGCGACGTGCGGGACACGACATGTATGTATCCGCCGCTGCTAGCTGTCAGGCTACTCATGTTGACTCAAAATGGCTGGCTTTAGGACCGCTGGTTGCTCAAATCAGACCGCAGAACTCAGCAACAGACGCCGCTAAAACCACCAACCTTTCCCCGAAGGGTTCTTTAAAACAAAAACGAAAGGTTCTTACCGGAATTGGTTCATAAACAGTCGGCAGACTGAGTCCCGGAGAGACGGCAGCTTTAACTGCCAGAGCCGCTGTTTACTGGAAGTGGTGTCGCGTCGGCACTAGGACCCTGATGACGACAGCAACGAGCCAGAGAGCCAAGTGTGCATCAATAATGTGTTTAATGTTTAACTATTCAAATAAGAGAAAAATAAAAATAATATAACCACTTCCAGAATATAACATATTTTAAGTTAATATAGTAATATTTGTATTCTTACGTAGCATCGCTAGCAACGTCAGCTATTTATCTGTCTCAGACAGCTAAAATAAATCATTTCCGGTACTTCTTACGAAGCTTAACACTTTAATGTGACATTTTATCTCTTTATTCATTCATTTTATTTGTCTAAATCTCAGGGTTACCAACAGTTGATAAATAAACAATTATTAGCCCACTTAGCTGGGTGCTGCTAAGACGGAAGCATTTCGCTGCTACACATTTCCTGTTTCCTAGCAACCAGAGCGATGTGGATGGAAGAAGAAAGGACAGTTTGATAAAAGGGTTTGTCGTTTATATGAAAAATAGGTTAAAAAAAACAAACAATATAAGTGAAGATTCGTGCAGGCATTAAAAGCATCTCCAGGTATTTAATCTTTAATACGTTCTTCGTCGTGAAGCCTGTATTTTATTGAAGGACGGATGTTTGTTTAGCTAACTGGGGCCGCTATCCTCTTCTAACTGCTCAGTTACAACTGACTTGTTGACTAGTGTCCAACAACATTGACTTTACTGTAATATTGTTTTACTCTCGGCAAAAATATTAAGATTTTTTATTAAATTGTAGATAGAGTCGCTGTTTTCTGGTTATTTATTCAGTTTGTAAAACAGGTGCAGACATGTTAGCCTTTAAGTAAAACCCACTAAGTTTAAAAAGGACGTTAAATTGATTATGTAGGTTTATATAATAAAGTACTACGGAACAGGATTAGGGCCATAAAAAAAGGATTCGGACTGTGTGTGCGCGTGTGATCTAAATAGATATGATCTAAATAAATGAAATAAAAAAGATAAAAATAAAATTAAAAATGCCTAAAATTTTAATTATAAAGGAGGTATGAAAATGCTTGCATGTGTAGAAAATACATTTTTCATGATCAGTGAGATAAAATCTTCATCCTAATAAAAAAAAAAATCCCCTCTCACCCTCTGTGGGTGGTCTCTTTCATCCTCTGAGCTCGGGTCCTCTACCAGAGGCCTGGGAGCTTTCATCCTCTGAGCTCGGGTCCTCTACCAGAGGCCTGGGAGCTTGAGGTTCTCCTCCAGTATCTTGGCTGTGCCTAGAACTGCACATTTCTGGACTGAGATGTCTGATGTTGTTCCTGGGATCTGTTTGAGCCACTGCTCCAGTTTGGGGGTGACTGCCCCGAGGGCCCCGATGACCACACCTCCTCTACTATTTATCTTGATCTTAGTTAGTTGTTATCATGATGGATATTGGGTCTCATGGTTG